TTTAACGTACTTATTAATTAAGTTAAATTAATAATAATATAATTAATTATAATTCTAATTATAATTTAAAAAAAAACTTCTATGTCTATCGGCTGTCATTCTATTTTAGTTATTACTAGTTTATTCTAGTTATGAAAAAAATTTACTTTTATATTTATAAGCATTAGTTATAAATTTAATATATAAGTTTAAAAATTTATTTTACTTTACTAAATGCTTCCATATTTTTCTCAAAAACAAATTAATTCTTTATTTATAAATATTTACACGTTTCGGTGATGCTGTATGTAACCTTCTTCAGGAACAGAAAAACATTTAATTTATTTTACAAGAAAAAAAATTATATATATATATATATATATATATATTTAAATATTTATATATATATATATGTATATATATATTTAAATATTTATTTATTAGAAAAAATCTTCAACAAGTATTCAATATGCAAATTTGTTTATTTATATAGTTAATTAATTATTTACTAATTTATCTATTTATTCTTTTATGCATTAATTTATTTACTGATATATTTATTTACTTCATTTTATATTTCATACTGTGTTAATTTATTTTATTAGTTTATTTATGCATTAATTTATTTACTCATTTATATTACGTAAGAAATATGAAACTTGTAACACGATGTTACGTAATATTTACACAAATGTTACGTCAATAGCCTGCAAAAATATTACGTAACATGTTGTGGATGCTGTTACATATATGCTACATATAAATTTCAAAATTACTCAAACATTTTGGAAAAAAATCCTGATTTTTTAAAACTTCTGATTTTTTTTTACAATTCTGATAATAGATTTATGTAGAATGGTATGCATTATTGATTTTAATTTATTTATGAATTAACTTGTTTATTTATTCATTCGTGTATTACGTAAGAAATATGAAACTTGCATTACGTAGCACGATGTTACATAATATTTACATAATGTTACGTCAACGGTTTGCAAACATATTACGTAACATATTGTGGATTCTGTTACATATATGTTACACATAAATTTCAAAATTATCCCAAGTTTTTTGGAAAAAATCCTGATTTTTAAAACTTCTGATTTTTTTTACAATTCTGATAATAGATTTATGTAGAATGATATGCATTATTGATTTTAATTTATTTATGAATTAACTTGTTTATTTATTCATTCGTGTATTACGTAAGAAATATGAAACTTGCATTACGTAACACGATGTTACCTAATATTTACATAAATGTTACGTCATTGTCCTGCAAAAATATTACTTAAGATATTGTGGATTCTGTTACATATATGTTACACATAAATTTCAAAATTATCCAAACTTTTTGGAAAAAAAATCCTGATTATTAAAAACTTCTGATTTTTTTTTTACAATTCTGATAATAGATTTATATAGAATGGTATGCATTATTGATTTTAATTAATTAGTTTATTTATTTGTTTATTTATTTATTTAATTATTTATTAATCTATTCACTCATACATTTATACACATTTACTCAATTTATTTATTTATGTATTAATTTATTTACTGATTTTTTTTATTTATTATCTTGTCAACAAAATATTGAATAACTTGAAACTCTTTGATTATGTATTTTTTATAAACAAATTCTTTTTTTTATTTAAAAAATGTTCGGAATGAACAAAATTTATATTTTTACTTGTAATTTTGATTTATGAATTTATTCTTTGTTTTTGATAAAAACAAAATACCTGATGATGGAACATGTGTAGTTCCGAAACGTCGTAATAGTTAATTTATATATATATATATATATATATATAAATATAATATAAATTGTACTCTTTTAAAATTGTATAAAATTTTTATGTGATGGCAAAAATGTCAGGGACCTATTTTTGCATAAAGACTTATTATTTGTTTTTAGATATTAAAATAAATATATTAAAATAAATATAAATGATATGATTATAATCTTAATTTAGCTAATATATATATATTAGATTTTTATATCAAGTATATAGCTTTGTAATTAGCTTTTCTATATTTTATAATAATAAATATTAAGATACATATATGTATATGTATATATATATATATGTATGTATATATATAGTGAATAATTATATGAAATTATATTAATGTTATTATTAATTAGAATACTATGAAAAAAACCTTGTGAAAACTATAAAAAAAATATATAAAATTTGTGAAAAATCAACCAAATATTTCAATTTTTGAAGAGAAGGAAATGAGATGTTTTTTTACAGGACACCCAGACAGGTAATTAACCAAGTATAAGTATATAAATAATATAAAGTATATATAAAGGTAAGTTATAGTAATCGTCAAAAGCATGATGTTTTTTGTGTACTGTAATTTAAAAAAAATCTGTTTTCTTTCCAAATTTATAATAATCTATTTGTATATATATATATATATATATATATAATCAGGTATAAATCGATATATACATTTATATATCCAATTCCCATACAAACTGAGACAGCTAGTATATATATAATCATGTATAAATCAATATATACATTTATATATCCAATTCCCATACAAACTGAGACAGCTAGTATATATATAATCATGTATAAATCAATATATACATTTATATATCCAATTCCCATACAAACTGGGACAGCTAGTATATATATAACCATGTATAAATCAATATATACATTTATATATATATAACTCCTATACAATCTGGGACAGCTAGTATATAGTATATGATTCGTTGAGAACTGTCAAACGTTTGCCGACGGTGGCGACATCTAACACAGAACCGTATGAACCCGGTAGTCACTACGTAGTTCCTCACGATTTGGGAACAATTTTACATAGAGGCGCTACATGCAATCTCTTTAGAAAAGTAGGAATCTTAGTGGATTCACATTGGATTCTTTTATACACTATTAGATATATAATTATGGTCCCGTCTCAAGAGAAATATTCAAAGTCGTTTTATGCAAAACTTTTATATCGGAGTGTATATAACTGTTTCAATAAAAATGTTGTAAATTTTATCTAATTTCATCCTATATAACTGAAAAAGGGTGCTTTCATATAAAGTTTGTGAGTTATTTGACAAAAACCAAAAAAATGTCCCGACTTTTCTAATTATTGCTAAATAATTTATGGTTCAATAATCAATTTATGGTACCGTCTCAAGTGAAATATCAATATATACATTTATGTATCGCTTATACGCTATTAAAAATATAATTGTGGTCCCAGTTTTCAAGGAATATCAATATATACATTTATATATCGCTTTATACGCTATTAAAAATATAATTATGGTCCCGATTTTGGAGAAATATCAATATATACATTTATATATCGCTTTATACGCTGTTATAAATATAGTTGTGGTCCTGGCTTTAGAGAAATATTAATATATACATTTATATATCGCTTTATACGCTATTATAAATATAATTGTGGCCCTGGCTTTAGAGAAATATTAATATATACATTTATATATCGCTTTATACGCTATTATAAATATAATTGTGGTCTCAGTTTTCAAGGAATATTAATATATACATTTATATATCGCTTTATACGCTATTATAAATATAATTGTGGTCTCAGTTTTCAAGGAATATTAATATATACATTTATATATCGCTTTATACGCTATTATAAATATAATTGTGGTCTCAGTTTTCAAGGAATATTAATATATACATTTATATATCGCTTTATACGCTGTTATAAATATAATTGTGGTCCCGATTTTGAAGAAATATCAATATATACATTTATATATCGCTTTATACGCTGTTATAAATATAATTAAAGTCGCGGTTTTGAAGAAAAATCAATGTATACATTTATAAATCGCTTTATACGCTATTAAAAATATAATTATGGTCCCGGATTAGAAGAAATATCAATATATACATTTATATATCCAACTTTCATACAAACTAAAGCAGCTAGCACTCAAATAATCATGTATAAATCAATATATAAATATATATTTACATTTTTCTTATATAATAATGCTGCTAGTTCATATGTAATGATGGAACAAGCAATATATAAATTTATATATCCATTTTTCATACAAAAATGGAATAAAGTACTTAATAAATTTGCTTGGGGATTCGAACTCGAGACCTAAAACAAGAACCGAAGCCATTTAACGACCTCGTCCACCCCGTCGGTGGTAAACAATTGATTGAATTTGGTACATGTGTTAACAATATCTTCACATGCCTTCCTCACCCCTTAACTTGTCGAATAAAAAACCCTATCGGATTCGAACCAGCATCCTTCGCGTTAGAGTCTATTTCAGCGCTCTAACCGATTCGGCCACGACGACCAAGATTTTCCGACGACAAATACTAGAAGGACATTATGCGAGTGCATCCGACCATCATGATTCGAGTCGAGGTCACAGGGGGATGATATGAAAATATTAAATGTTCACCCTGGGGGTTGAAAGTGGGCTCATTCGATTCTGTGGGTTCGTGCGAATTTCAAGCGGGTGGTTTCAGGGGGGAAAATTTTGTCCGTTTTTCGCTCAGGAGAGCAGAAAATCGACTTTTTGTGAATTTCACGTGTTTTCTATGGGATTTTTTAGAAAACTTTTTGCTGACCTCAAAGATTTGGTCAAGGTCATTTATATGGATCTCAATGACGTGACAAGGTCAAGGTAAAGGTCATTTATATGTAGTCAAGGTCAAATACAATTGTATATAAATCAATATATATACATTTTTATATACTAATTTCTTTTATAAAGAGTCCATATATAAATTTATAATCGTGTATATTTCAATATATACATTTATATATACAAATTTCTAATACCCCGGGGTCAATTTAAATTTCAAAAATCGCGCCCACCAACCGGCGCTAACTTCACTAACGTTATCTAGTAGCAATCGCGTGAACTACGTCACCAACTGTCAATTTAAAACGAACTGACATTTCAGCGTCTGGATTTTATTTAATTGCATTTTATTTCTCGACATTAATTGTGCAGCATTTAAACAAGCAACATGGCCAGGAACTTAGAAGCCACCAACAGATTTAGCAGACAACTGGAAAATGGTAAGTCTATTGTAATATTTAACTTTTGTGTAAGGATGCTCCAAGCTTTTTGCATTTGCAGAAGGTGCTCGTTCCGGCAAAGCCTTCTTGACCCCCAAAAAAATCACAGGGGCTTTATCTGAGGTGCAGAATACACTCAATAAGAAGTTTACACCGTTGAAACCAAATCTGCTGAACAGCCCTAAAGTTCAACTAACAAAAGTCATAAAAACAGAACCTAAGGAAACCCTGTCACCGGTTTATGATGAAGTCTACCATGAAGTACCCTTTATAGGTAGTAAATGATATATGTTAAATTTGATTTTTAGTTTGTTTCGATAACCATTGCTGTTTTATCCAGATGATTACATCGACTTGTACCCTGGCGGTCTCACAAAGTTAACAGAAAAGCTGGTGGAAAGTCTTGATTATCGACCACCTACACCAGAACCACAATGTGGTGACGATTCAGGATTTGATTTTGTTGACGATTTGCCTGTGGATGATTTACCTGGTGCCTTTGATGATTTGGATGATCATCCTGATTTCGAGCCGATGTATATTGGAGATTTCAGTTTTTAAGTGTTTTCATTGAAATAGTTTATTTTTATTTTTAATATAAAACTATGTGTACTTTGGAAATGTTTTATATATAAGATATTTTAATATATTGTGGAAAATCTGGAAAACGTAATACAAGACTAATTTCTTATATATGATTTTGTTTTAATATAAATAAATGTATATATTGATTTATACACATTTATAAATATAAATATCCACTTGTGTTATGAGAAATGTATATATACAAATTTATATATTAATTTATACATGTTTATAAATTTGCATAGAAACTTGGTATAAGAGAAATTCGTATATATAAATGTATATATTGATTTATACACATATATAAATTTATATATAAACTCTTAAGATGAGAAATTAGTATATATAAAAGTATATATTGATTTAAACACGATTATAAATTTATATATGCACTTGTGTTATGAAAAATGAGTATATATAAATGTATATATTGATTTATACGTGTTTATGAATTTATATATGAATTTGGTATAAGAGAAATTAGTATATATAAATGTATATATGGATTTATACACGATTATAAATTTATATATGCACTTGTGTTATGAAAAATGAGTATATATAAATGTATATATGGATTTATACATGATTATAAATTTATATATGCACTTGTGTTATGGAAAATGAGTATATATAAATTTATATATTGATTTATACACATTTATAAATTTATATATGCACTTGTGTTATGAAAAATGAGTATATATAAATGTATATATTGATTTATACAAATTTATATATACAGTCTTTATATGAGAAATCATTATATATAAATGCATATATGGATTTATACACGATTATAAATTTGTATATGCACTTGTGTTATGAAAAATGAGTATATATACATGTATATATTGATTTATGTACGTTTATAAATTTATATATAAACTCGGTATAAGAAAAATTAGTATATATAAATGTATATATTGATTTATACACGATTATAAATTTATATATGAACTTGGTATAAGAGAAATTAGTATATATGAATGTATATATTGATTTATACACATTTTTACATAAACTCTTTATATGAGAAATCATTAAATATAAATGCATATATTAATTTATACACGTTTATAAATTTATATATATAAACTTGGTATAGGAGAAATTGGTATATACATATATATATATATATATATATATATATTTATATATATATATATATATATATATATTGATTTCTACACTTTTATAAACTTATATATGAACTCTTTATATGAAAAAATTTGTATATATATAAATGTATATATTGATTTATACACATAAATTATTGTTCTAATCTTTCTAAACATTCAAGTAATTCATTATTACTAATATAAGTGATTTATAATTATTAATAAATAATTGTTGTACCTATAGATAATAATAATAATAAAATACATATATAAAATATTTATATATATTTAAATTTCAAACTTCCCGCTCTATTTCAATTACAAAGTTTTACTACTGAGGGCGCGACGATCAAACGTCAAAACTTTAACCTCAAAAAAGCATGTCTTATATTGTGTAATAATGTTAAAGTAATATATAATGATAATAAAATATTAATAATGTATTAATTTAAATTGTTTATATAATAATATAAATGTGAATAAAATGGCTATAGTGTTACGTTTGGGAATGCTGAGGTAATAAAATATTTATATCATATTTAATATATATTAACAGAATCTAAAAGTTGGACATAATATTAATAAAAATCGTGAATTTGTTAAAGAAAATATGATAAAATTCATATTTTTAGGCTCAGAATTATAGCTTTTATTTAGTGGAACTAAATTTAATTTAAAAACTAGTATATGTAACTATAAAGTTTGAACAATTGCAAGTAAAAAGTACTTACATTTTGTATAATATATATATATATATATATACATATATATATATATATATGTGTGTATATATATATCTGTGTGTGTGTATAAATATGGATGTATATATACTTGTTGTTTGCAGGATTGGACAAAGTCCGAGGAAAGTTTGTGCGTTCCAAACGTTTTTCACAGGACCCACTTCGTATAAACGTAGGAAAACATCAGAAGAAAGAGTAAGGATAATTTATAATCTATATCTTGTCTATTGTTATCTTTGTATCGATTAGTAATATATGATCTTAAAACCACCTAACTTCTAAGTATACTTGCTACTATTTAGTGATAAATTTAAGTTTGATGATTTATTTCGTTATTGATCAGTGTGCAGTCTATCATATCTTTGTAGTATGTTTCTAATTGTTGTTTGATGACATAAACTTTGTGTTGTCCTGTTGTTTTTTGATTATTCTGGTTAAAGACAATTTGTCTGCAAATTTTGCTCAAGTCTTTGGTAAATTGCTTAAAGACTTCCTAGCCTAATATAATGCTGCATTCTCTATTCTTTCCTGTAATTAAAATTCAGTTGTATTTGCAGTTTTAAAAATATTTAATATTTATAAATTTATGTATAAAATATTTATGTTTTTAATAATGATAATTTAATTATTATATATATATATATATATATATATATATATATATTAAGTATTATATTATGTATATATATTTATATTTATATTTTAGAAATCTCCAAAATTAATAGAATATTCACCAAAATCTAAATTAAAAAAAGATGGGCCAACAATAGACATATGGAGAAATATGACGATAAATGAATTAGCTAAAAGCATGGGCAAAGACTTAGAACAAGTTCAGGTAAACATCTTTATATATATATATATACATATATAAATATATATATATATATATATATATAAACTGTATAATTTTAAATTAAATCTTAAACACTCTTATCAGTAAAAAAACATGTAATTCTTGAAGAGTTTATACTAAAATCCATATGTTTTGCCTATAATCCTAGTCTTTAAATTTACCAAATCAATTTCTCAGATTGTACTTTAATATATATTGCTGAAACTAGCCAAAATTTAACAAAAACCACTTCAAAAATATTAAACAAGATACAACTATGTTTGCTCTGAAACAATTTAAAACTTTTTTAACCAGACTATTCTTTATTCTGAAGAATAAATTTCTTATTTTGAAGAATGACATTTTGCAGAAGGTTTTTTCATTCAATTACATAAAAATAGACCGGGATTTGCACCTTGTGTCCCGGGTTTTTCTAAAAGCAATATTTGTACCGGATTTAGATCTTTTGTCCCGGATTCTGCATATTTTCAAAATATGCAGAAAACCGCAAAATTCAGAAACGCAAAAATCCAAAAAAATCAAAAAGCTAGAATACCAAAAAATCTAGAAACCCCAAACATCCAAAAAACTCAAAAATCCAGAAAATAACAGAAAAATCTAAAAATTCAAGAAAACGCAAAAATCTGCAAAAACGCAGAAATGTCAACAATCCAGGAAACAAAAAAATCAGAAACTCAAAAAATCCATGAGCCTAAATATCCAAAGACCTAAAAATTCAGAAACTTTAAAATCCAAAAACTAAAAAAGCAAGAAACTCAGAAATCCAGAAACTTAAAAATTCAGAAACTCAAAAATCCAGAAACCTAAATATCCCGGAAATGCAATAACCCAGAAACTCAAAAATCCAGAAACGCAAAAAATTAGAAACCTAAAAATCCAGAAACCTATAAATCCAATAACCTAAAAATTTAGAAACCTAAAAATCCAGTAACCTAATAAGCCAGAAAATCAAAAAATACAGAAACTCAAAAATACAGAAATCCAGAAACTTGAAAATCCAGAAACAGAAAAAATTCAGAAACTCAAGAAATCCAGAAACATAAAAATCAAGAAACTTCAAAAATCCAGGAACAAAACCCAAAATCTCTAGAAATCCAGAAACCTAAAAATCCAAAAACCTAAAAATCCAGAAACTTTAGAAATCTAGAAACTAAAATATCCAGAAACTCAAAAATTCAGAAACTAAAAATTCATAATCTCTAAAAATTCAGAAACCTAAAAATCCAGAAACTCAAAAATCCAGAAACCTAATAATCCAGAAAATCAAAAAATCCAGAAACTCAAAAATTCAGAAATCCAGAAACTTGAAAATCCAGAAACTCGAAACTCCAGAAACTGAAAAATCCAGAAACTTCAAAAATCCAGAAACTTTAAAATCAAGAAACTTTAAAATCAAGAAACTTAAAAATCCAGAAACATAAAAATCAAGAAACTTCAAAAATCCAGAAACAAAACCCAAAATCTCTAAAAATCCAGAAACCTAAAAATCCAGAAACTTTGAAAATCTAGAAACCTAAAAATACAGAAACTCAATAATCCAGAAACCTAAAAATCTAGAAACCTAAAAATCCAGAAACTCAAAAATCCAGAAACCTGAAAATCAAGAAACTTAGAAATCCAAAACTCAAAAATCCAGAAACTTAAAAAATCCAGAAACATCAAAATCAAGGAACTTCAGAAACTCCAGAAACTCAAAATCCAGAAACTCAAAATCAAGAAACTCAAAAATCCAAAAACTCAATAATCCAGAAACTTTAAAATCCAAAAACCAGAAATATATATTTTTTAAAATGCTATAAAGAAACTACTAAATATTTTGTAAATTAAAATAAGAAAAATAATTTAAAAATTAAGCAAAAACCAAAGAACTATATATTTTAAGAACGAAATTAAAAAAAAAAACATCATGTATTATAAATGTATATATGTATATATATATATATATATATATATACCCAGTAAACACTACTTGTTGCCGCAATGTAACTTTTTATGTTACAAAGTTATATAACAAGTGTTAACTAAATGTAATGTACGCGCAATGTATTTTGAAGTTACAAAGTTATATAACAAATGTTAACTAAATGTAATGTACCCGCAATGTATTTTGAAATTACAAAGTTATATAACAAATGTTAACTAAGTGTAATGTAAGGGGGCGTCCATTAATCACGTGAGGTTTTTAGGGGGAGGGGGGGTTTGACAAAAAATCACGAAATATCACGTGGGGCAGGGAGGGTATAGTAAGATATCACGTGT